CATCATATTCTTCATATTTCTCCATTTCTTATTTTTTTCTTTTACTAACAACAAGTTATGACTTATTCTTTGATTTTTCAGTTTTTTGGTCTTCCTTAGTCCCTCTAGAATCTCTTTTTTTGCTTAAATCTTTAATAAAATTGTTGGTTTACTTTTCCTTTTTTGTTCTAGATTTGCTTCTATGAGATTTTTGAAGAGTATGCTCAGACTATTCTTTTTATGAAATTTTAACGTCAACATAGGTCTCAGTTTCAGGTCTCGTTCTTTTTTTTGTATCTTTTAAAGATTCTTAAAAGTTCCTACTAACCATCTTGATCTTTTAGTTTAGAGTTGGACTAGCTAGACTTGTCAAAAGACTCTCTGAATCCTTGTGAAAATTATCAATTTTAAGTTTTTTAACTTTTTAAGATCGTGCAATGTTAGAATCCGGTTTACTTGCAGATTCTTCTTGCAAGGATGGGTTAAATATAGATAAGTTTTCAACTATTCTTTTGTCAATGACTGACTTTTAGCTAGATTTTATGATTTTTGAGATAGACTTGTGTAGCTAAGAATCATCATGTATCATTGTCAACTTTTTGAGCAATTTTTCTTAACCCTCTTAAGTTCCTCCCTCGAGAATATTCTTCTTGAAGTAGGGCAATAATTCTTTCTATTCTCTATTTAAAAGTAGACTAGCTATTGAATCACTCTATCTTATTTGCTTAAGGTTTCTAACAATGTCAAACTCTTTTCTCAACTTTTTAACTCCTTCTCTGAATAGATAGTCTAAGGAATGAGACTTTTTAAAGCGACTACATATTGAAGATTTGATGAAATTGGTAAAGCTATATCTAAAAGGTTAGAATTTCTTCAAATTTTAACTTATCTCCATTGCTTTGTCATTAACACTCTCTCTTCGACTTGCCTCTGATCGAATTGATTTTTAGTCATTTTTAATCAATTCTCATGAAGAGGCAGCAATATCATTAACATTCACAATTTCTGAATCCTTCTGAAGTCTGTCTCTTTTTCTTCCAACTTTCATTGATTCAGAATTTTGCCTAGTATTTGCCAACTATTACTGCCTGAAAAATATCTTTTTAATGATTGAAATTTCAAAAAGAGCTTTTTAAACTTTCATTGTGAGTAATTTGAAAAGTATCATAACTATTGAGGCAAAACCTCCAGTGTTAGTCAAGGCATCAATTAGATTATATGATCTACGGGTGATAACTGAGGTATTTTCACCCATGAAAAACTGTATTGTCATCCAGATGTTATTTTTTATTTTTGAATTATCATACTCATGGCTAACTGATGCATAGGTCAAGTTTTTCTGGTTTATTGATGCAGCTAACCAAGAATCTTAGATAATAGCAAAGTTCTTTGAAATTGAAAATGTATAGTATTTATAGTCAGTCGCTGGATTAAATGTAAAAGTTTAAATCGTATACTTTATTGGTTGCGCTTCAAATTCAGAAACATCAAGGTACTATTGTAAAAAAGCAAACAGCATATTGACATCTTTTGCAATGGCATCTGCTTCTTCTCTACTTTTGCATGTTAAATTTGGGAAAATCTTAGTTAAAGAGGCTTAATTACAATATGTCATCTCCATTCTGACTCTTTGAGTACGAGGTGATCCTTTGCTTTACAATATGAAATGATCTTAAGTTGAACACCACCATTTCGTGTTATCAGTCCTTGATTAATTTGCAAATCTTGTCTAGAGACAGGGAGTTATATTGTACTCATCAGCTGCCAAAATGACTGGCAGTTAAATGTCTGATGAGTTTGGGTTGTTATAAGATTTGAAATTATACATTCTAACTGTAAAATATTGATGCAGATTAGTAACATTGGGATCTATTCCTCCATAACTTAATTGTATTGCATAATCAAACTCACTTAAGGAGAAATTATACGGAGTCTCATCAACATATAGATCCCTCTGATAAGAAGTGTTCGTTATAGTATAGTCTGAATTTTGAAAGATCTTCAAGATCATAAATAAGAAATATACAACGAGACTTATAATCGACAATATTGTCATAAGCCCTCCGAAAGTGGATTTATAAGTTTGTTCGCTTTTGTAAGTAAATCCTATTGGATGTCCAAACCTATCGATTTTTCTGATTTATCTCCCAAAAAATGCAGTGAATCTGTAGAAGCCACTCTACTTAGCCTTATAATTGTTAGATCTCATTAATTTTATTATAAAGTGTCTCTGTTTCTATTATAGATATGATTTAAAATTATTTTACTGGGATAAATTTATTAAACTTCTGTGATAAATTAAGCAACTGTGATTTTTATCTGACAATTAGGATGATTAATGTAGAAATTAATAAATTCTAAAAAAATACAAAATTATTGACTGCTGGGGTTTTGGGGTTTTGGGG